AGCCATCCCCCAACTCTCTCTGCTCTTCCAGTTCAGCAAAGGGGGGAGGAACCGCCCAGCCATCTGGATCGACACCGGCATCCACTCCCGCGAATGGGTGACGCAGGCCAGCGGCGTCTGGTTCGCCAAGAAGGTACGGACACCTCCCGGACATGTCTTATGTCCCCAAAGGGCCGCAAGGTCCTGCAGCCACCGCAGATGCCGGGCAGCCGACCCCACAGAGAGGACGGTGCTCCAGCAGCGCCAGAGAGCCCCAAACCACCCTCCTCTCTAGATTGTCCTGGATCATGAGAATGACCAAGGTCTGGCCTCCATCCTGGACAAGATGGACATCTTCCTGGAGATCGTCACCAACCCAGATGGCTTCGCCTTCACCCAAACCCAGGTACCGCCCCGGCTTTCTTCTCCCTGGCTCCTACAGCCATGATGGATGGGGTTGGGGAGCAGGACTGGGGTGCTGCACACGGAGGCCTCTTGTCTACATTTCCACGAGTGGGAAGGGGACCACCGTGACCCATTAAACACCCCAGACAACAGCCTCCTGTCCGTTGGAGGCTGGTGGAGCTCTGGCCCTGGACACCACCCAAGTTGGCTCTGTCCTTCCAGAACCGTATGTGGCGCAAGACCAGGTCCAGGCACTCAGGCTCCACTTGCATCGGTGTGGACCCCAACCGCAACTGGGATGCAGGTTTCGGAGGTCAGAGCTCTCCCATTCACACTGTGGGGGGTTTCCACCCTCCAGGTGGAGGCTCTGAGGCCATTTCTGGCTCAGAAAGATCCACTGATGTCCCCTGGGGAAGAGATGAGATTTGCTCTCTGTGGTAGAGACGTGGGTTTGGGCTCCACCAGGGCTTTAATGTCCCCTAGTGACCAGCACGGTGGGGACCACAAATGAAAGCCATCATACAAGCATCTAGGAAGAGCCCCAAGAGCATTTCTCGCTGGCCACCAAGCAGCTGAGGGGTGGGAAAAGCTCTTGGGCTCAGAAATGAAAAAGGCCCTTTGCCCTTGTGACTCTCTGGGCCACCCAACTGCCACCAAACGCCCACACTGTGTTTTCACTTCTCCACAGGGCCCGGGGCCAGCAGAAACCCCTGCTCGGAGACGTACCACGGCCCCTACGCTAACTCGGAGCCCGAGGTGAAGGCCATTGTGGATTTTGTGAAGAACCACGGGAACATCAAGGCTTTCATCTCCATCCACAGCTACTCCCAGCTCCTACTCTACCCCTACGGCTATACCAGCACCCCAGCGCCTGACCAGCAGGAACTGGTAGGGCTGACACGGAGGTTTGAAGGGGGCTGGGATGATGCGAGGCTGCTCTACTCCTCCAAGGAGGAGCAACCTCCATCATGCACCGTGGAGGGGGCACTGGCAAGTCAAGAAGCAGCCCTGGCTCCTCTGCCAGCCCCTCGGGACTCCCCCACGCCAAGGCTACTGAGCTTTGGCATCTTTTTTGCCTGCAGCATGAGCAAAAAAACCTCTCCTGCAGGCTGTACCCTGCAGGCTTTCCCCTTCTCTGGCTCATCTTTCTCTCTTCTGTGTATTCCCAGCACCAGATTTCCAAGAAGGCGGTCGCAGCTCTGTCTTCTCTGTACGGCACTAACTACAAGTACGGCAGCATCATCACCACCATCTGTAAGTAACAGGGAGCAGCGGTGGTTCCCCCAAAATAAACCAAAATCACCACTCACACCTCAGCTTAGACAAAAGGTCCCGTGAAATACCTGTGCGAGGCAGAGCGACTAACGTTTCACATCCCTCCTGTTGTTTCCCCACTCAGATCAAGCGAGCGGAGGAACCATCGACTGGACATACGATCAGGGCATTAAGTACTCCTTCACCTTTGAGCTGCGGGACATGGGGCACTACGGGTTCCTGCTCCCCGCCAAACAGATCATCCCGACCGCCCAGGAGACGTGGCTGGCGCTGAAGGTCATCATGCTGCATGCGCGGGATCATCTCTATTAACGGGATCGGGGGCTGAGCAGCGGTTGAATTAGCTGTGGGGGGAAAAGAAAGCAATAAATAAATGTAAAGAAGGATGAGAAATGCCTTTTGTTGTTTTGCCTTTTTCCAAATGATGGTGAAAAGCCTTTTCGGAGACTGACTCAGCACTCCTGCGGGCGCACGCAGTGGCAGCCAACATAAACAGCACGTGTTGGCCCAGTGGCCCGAAAAGGGGATGAAAAGGGCATGAAAATAGCGGGACACAAAAGAAAGGAAGGTGCTTGTTTTCCCTTTGCTCTGGCAGAGGATGGAAGGGGAAGAGGAGACACTGGGCAAGCAGAAACCTCGGACACTGCAGCTGTGCTGGCAAGAGGGGTGCCCACCTTCCCCAGCCCTCCCAGGGGCTGGAGTGGCTCTGTGACACGAGACAATTGGGTTAGCGTGATTTATTCCGTGTATTTTTGTGAACACCAACTTGCAAAGCTGGTAGAAAGGTCCCTCCTTACCCACTGCAATCCCATGGGGAGGAAGAGCCAAGCCCCTGCCAGTTCCCAGGTTCTGCAGGCACTGCTCCAGGCTCTCCATTAGCCGTCAAAGCTCAAACTGAAAAGAAGTACTCAGCCATATGGTGTCATTGACTTTTTATTAAATTAAACAATTAAAAAGCCCAGACTCGATAGAGTTTGACTCCATCCTCCAAACAATACCAAGTCAAGAGTCCAAAAAAACCATACAAATCCATCAAGACGATGGGAAAGTACATCCAATTCTTCCTTTGATGCCCTGGATTTGGAGGATCTCAAACAGCTCGGACTAGTTTTGTCCATCCGTTTCAGGAGGTTTTCATGCAGCCCAGAGCAGCCAGGGATTTTTGGATCTGTCTCCCACAGCTGGATAGCGAAGTCAGGACGTTAAGCCAACACAATGACCATGACTCTCATCTCCGTTTTCAGACAGATGCATTTTATACACTTCCAAGTGCTCACGGAGCTGAAAGATCTCCTACTCGCACACCGGTGGGACCCTGCGTGCTGTACCAGTCCCTGTCTTTCAAGCACATAATAAATGGCTCTCTTGGCGCTCACCTTTCCTGCTAAATCAATTGGGTAGTATCATTTTTCAGCCAACTGGCCTAGGCAAGCTACCAGCTGAATTATGCAGGAGATGCTGCTTTGTTCAATGTTTTTATTTCATGACAACATAAAAACAGAGGTGCCTTCCACAGCAGGAAGGAGCAACGGACTCAGGACATCAAAATCAGACTATGCAGCTGCGCAAGCCACGTTATACGTTCAAAACGAAACGTGGCGTTTCTGCGATGCTTCAGTACCAAACTCCTTTGAAATCTTTATTTATCTTTTATTTATTTTATTAGGCCATGTAATAGCATCGCCACTCAGTAACTAAAGCCCCAAGAGGCGAGTCAGCTGCCCAAGGCTGCCAGTGAAGAAGAGCGCGGACAAGAACCAGGTCCCTGCGGCTCCTGCTTTGGGCTCAGACCATTTAAAGAAATGCTTTTCTCTCAAGAAGTGATGCTGCCATTCCACAGAAAGCCAACAGGTCTAATCTAGGAGGACAAGCTACTTTGTTCAAAATAAACACGCCTACAACTAAACCAACAAAAAGTCTTCCAGAAGCGTGATCGAGTAGGAAGGTAAGACAGCAGAGCAGTTAGTGAGATGGTGAGATGCATTTCAGCCCATCCTTAGGAAGCTGGATAAGATCTTTAATTTTTTTTTGATCTTCACACGTGACCAGCCCCACTCTTACAGTACATACACACACACATACACGCTCTCTATGGAAACCCACGATGCGTGCGATTGGGTTGGAAGGACAGCTTGTATAAATTAGAGCTGGTTTGTACCACTTAAAGTGTCCAAGGGCTTCTCTGGGAAGCTGGGAGCTTTAAGTTACCCTCCTGCAATCAGCTTTTGTTACACATAAAAATAGAGATGTGTATTTGAACACACATGGGCATTCAGCTCTTTGAAGTACTTTGTTGAGTACATTTTAAATGCTGGCTCTGTCCTACGCCCCTTGATTTCTCCCCTTACTCTCCCTCCGGGGGATCTCTACACAGCATCAGAGGTTTGTGCTGATCACCTCGCTCTTCTCTGCAAGAGGACTGAGGTTATGGCTCTCATCAGAATGAGACTGCCAGTCTCTGTATCGGTACTCCCCTGATTTAAGACTCGTGGAGACACGATAAACATGCTCAGCAACGTTGAGTCTCAAACTGCCAATTAAGAAACTATGTACAATTTCTCTCACCTTGCCCTTTTGCCAGAATTATCCCCTGATGATCTGATTTTGGGGTCTGTTGAAGATTGCTTGTCTACTTCAAAAAAGCAGGGCAGGGGGAACCCCACCAAAACTCAAAAAGCCACGCGCAAAAACCAAAAGACCAAGAAGCCAAAGCTGGACCAAGCTGAGCAATCCTGTAGGTAAAGGCTAGAGAGCAGGATCTCTCCGTAACCACCTACCATGTCTCTAGTAAGCAACTCTGCTTTGTCACTGGGTAGTTTCAGATGATTTCTAGGTCACCCAGCCAGTACTGGTATGGTGGAAGCACCGATTTGATGAAAGCTGCGATTCTCATTTTCTATGAAATCTTCATGCCCTGTTCAGTTACCAGATCCATGGTCCCTCCTAGGTTTTAGGGACCCTGGTGAGAGGGCAGAAGAAAATTTCCCTTCAGCCACCCTAACCTTAAAAGAAGCTACTCCAAAAACCCTGGCAAAGGTGTAAGTGGGAATAAATTTCCAGCCTCTATCAGGCACTGGAACTGCAGAGCTCTTTGCTGCTCCACTGAAGAATAGGGTTTGCCTCCAAGTATCACAAAAGCATTTTACGAAGCAAAATGACGTTCTGCCTCCTAACCTCGAGTCGCAGCTGCCTGAATGATGGTTAGGGAAATCAGCCTGGTCAGCAGAAGAGTGACTGGCTCCTCCATGTACGTCGTAGTTTTCTGCAGCTCCAGTGACCAGCAACCTGCTCTGGCAGGTCAGAAAAGGAGCAAACCACCAGTACACAGGGGAACTGAGGAGACACTCTGCCTGCACACCACCAAGAGGGGCACAGCAGATGATTCTGCCCTAAGATGTGTCAGCTAAAACCCTGCTCAGCACATCTGGCAGCCTTAGTCTCTCATATAATCTCACTTAGAACCAAAACCACTACGCAACAGCTCGCTCTAACCACAGCAAGGAACAAAGCAGAAAAAGCACAGTTAGAAGCCAAACCTACCAGACAATAAAGGCAAAAAGAGGGAAAACACAGTTATTTTCTCCTCCAGCTCACCTTTAAAAATACAGAACTGTTTCACAAACTGTCCATGAGTAAACATGACTGTCAGGTTACATTGCCACACTGGGCATTATTTCCAAAACCAACTTTATTACAAATACTTCTATTCATTAATGTATTTTTTTTTTAAAAAAAAACCAACAAAACAACTTACAGAATCCTCTCTCCAACATTTTGGCAAGTTGCTGAATGTCTGTATCTCTGCTACAAAACACCAAGGTTTTTGCTCACAGATGATTTCTGGCCCATTTACCTTCACATGTCTTTGCCTGTTCGCACAGTCTGCGGTTCCGGGCACAGCACAGAGGGAGTATTTGTTACAGACACAAATTCATTCGTCTGAACTACAAGCTTTGCAGAACTGTTTCTACTGGTCACAGGTTTTACTATTGGTTTCCTCCCTCCCGTACAAAATTGGTTATATCAACTCTGTCCTGACGCTGCACCTAGAAGTCAGCCTTGCCAAAGGGATACCGTTCCCGCTTCTACGAAACGTCAACCGTTCCAGCTCCCCCAGCCTCACCCGAGCTGCCATTTATATACCACCGCTGCTTTTATCTGCAGATTCCTAAAACGACAAACTGCCTGCACTGCTCAGGGTTCCCAGATCCTGGGCATTCACGTTTATTCAGTGGAAGAAGACACTGCTGCTTATTTCCATGGCCTGTTCTGGAGGCTGCTCCTGCTGAGTGAGTGGGTGGTGAGGGATCCCACGTTGCCAGCGGTGCTGGGGAGACTGGGGCTGCTCCTCACAGTTGTCACCTTGGAATCGCGGCCTGAAGAACCACGGCTAAGACGGCCTGCGGGGGAGGAAAAAAAAAAGATCAGAAGGTGTGTGTGTGATGGAGCACAAGGACACACAAATGATCTGTTGTGTCTCGCTGGCTCTCCATCTCTCACTGTAAACATATAGAGCCATGAATAATTCAGTGCAGGGTTCTGTGCAGCCTCTAACTAGCTGTGCAGGCCTAAGAATTTGAAGAACCTACTAACCACCAGTAAAACTTAAAGACATTTAAATTTAGTGGGCAGAATGGTATATGCCCATCCTCAGCAGGCACAGGATTTTGCCATCATGTAGCTACATAAAATTTAAGTCCTCTGGGATCAACATAGCACAGGTTTTGGTAGATCTTCTCAGTCAGTTTGGAAAAAAGTTTCTCCCTCTCCCAGCAATCTCATGGAAAGAACATAGCAAAGCAGAGAACTGCTGCAGGGCAGGCTCAAGAGCTACAGAAAGTATCTGCAGCATTTGTCCTGAAGTCTTACTGGCAGTGTCTGAAGGAATGTGCTCCTCTTCCAGGTAGTACTTTATCTTTTGTAGATCATTTGCAGAAAATCTCCATTTATTCTCAGCACGTGTGGGTGGCACTTTGGGAAAGGTCTTTTTTCGGGCAGATCCAGTGGGAGCTGCCACCTGGCAGGACATGGGGAGTGAGCCGGTGATCAGTCCTTCTGGAATCTTCTGTGCAAGGACCTTCAGGCCTGCAGACACACAGATCACACATTATCAGTGACCACCAGCTAAAAATCAGTGGTTTTTACCAGTCACAAGTGAAATTCTTGACAGAGCTGAATATCCAGCTCTTTCCAATCTCCAGCTCACGCAACCCTTGCTCACTGCTCTCGATGGCTGACGGTTGGACTGATGACCTTAGAGATCCTTTCCAACCTTAATGATTCCTAGTTTTACTTTCATCAAAAAATAATCC